TTTTTCTAAAGTAAATTCTCTTTATATATTTGCTATTTAAACCAGAAAAATATTCTAAAAACACTATAGTGAATAGAATTTATATTTGAAAAAAAGCTTTAAGACTAAAACAAAGATTAAAAAAGCTTTTTTTTTTTTTTTTTTTTGATGTTAAGGTGGCCTCTTGGCTGGCTCCTTTTATTCGGTTATAGTTAACTTTTTTACAATATGCGTTTATAGCATCTCGTATACATATTTGGAGAGTACATACTAGTCACACGTACAACTTTTGGTTATCTATTTAAGTAGTCCGCTTATTACTAAGTTCTACACTAGATGTTATACCTGCAACCCGACTAGAGGGTTACCTATTTAAACTCTCTAAAAAAGCTTTCTTTAAATTTAAGATTTCACAAAATTCTACAAATACTTTTGCTATTTTTTTGGTTTTTAAAAATTTAACAAAAAGTGAAAAAGTTTGGTATATTTCTTTAAAAAAGCAGCATTGTTTACTACTTTTATACCAAGAAACTATATAATAACAAATTAATATATTCAAAATGAATAGTGCTAATAAATTTTAATAACTGAATCAGATATTCTAATAAAGTATTTTATATATTATATTGTTTAGGATATACAAATACATGTAGCTGCTAAAAGTTCAAAGAATAGTGATAACTATATGAAGTTCAAAGTTTTTATACTTTTAAATAATGATATAGATTTAATTAGAAGAGTCAAGTAAAATGTATTAAGATATACAAATATTCTGTAGTCATTTGTATATAATTTTTTTTAGTCTCTAGTATAAGTTATAGTATATTTTATTTTCTTTTTTTTTTATTAAATTTCTTGTAATATTCTAATATAAGTAGTTTATTACTCTGTATAGTTAAAAGTTTTTACTTAGTTAGCAGGTTTTCTTCTTTCTAGTGATAGTTTCTTATAGATTTTAAGTTTATTTTTAATTTTGTTTTATATTAATACTTATTTTTATATATATTTTGGTTTTTTTTATATATCTTTTCTGTATCTATTTTTTCTTTTTTTTTTTCTTCTTTACAAGAAAATATCATCAGATTGGTAGTATTCTATTGTAAAACAAAAATCTTGACAAAGCTAGCTATATACTAATTGTTAATTCTAGAAAAAATAAATCTAAAGCAAGTTTTGGATCTCTAAAGAAGATTAAGTATAGCTTTAGCAAGTTATATCTAAGTATAACATAGTAGTTTAATAGTTTGCTCTAACTGCAAGTAGAAATTTTAGCAACTATATAGTAAAACTGAATAAGTTTTACTTTTGATTAAAATATTACAATTTATAAGGATAGTATTATTTATTACCGTATATTTTTGAAAATAAGCTACCCTTTTTTGGATGATTTTGAACACAAAAAACTAGTAGTAGCTTATTTTCAGATATAATCTATTTTTGCACAATTTCGAAAAATTTTATTAAGCAAATCGATAATATATATTAAGTAAAGTTTGTTCAGAAGAACAAAATACACATATTCTGAAAATTTGAAGTAAATCGGATAACTTTTTATTAATTGACTTTTGATTTTTACGTTTAACGAATATGAATTTCAAAGAAACATTAAAGAAATTTTACAAAATTCATCGAAGGTAACATGCAAAAATGTATTAATAAAAGGTTATCCAATTTGTATGAAACTTTCAGAATATGTGTATTTTGATCTCCTGAATAACTTTCACTTAATAAGCTATATAAATTTACTTAGTAAAATTCCGACTTTACTATAGAATAACTACTGGAGATCGTATAGTAGCTTATTTTCGGGTATAAGAGGATTTTATATTTTTTTCTAAAAAAGAAAGGTAGCTTCTTTCAGATGTAGCTTATTTTCAGAAATATACGGTACTAGGGGTGTTAAAAGTTCAACTTGGCTCAACTTGGCTTAAAAGTTGAGTTGAGCAACTTCAAGTCCAATCCCAAGTTTAACTCATATACATTATGTAAAGCAAATTTTATTAAATATTTTTATGTACCCCTTGCATATTTTTATGTACTTCTTGCATAATTTATGCACTCCTTGCATAATTTATGCACCTTTTGCATATTTTATACACTTCTTATATATTTTATACACCCTTGCATATTTGTACATAATTATGTAAAAATATGTAAGAAGTATATAAAAATATGCAAGGAGTAAAAACCTAACTCAAAAGTTGGTTTGAGTTAATTTTAAAAAATTTTTGCTAAGTTGACTCAAAAACCAACTTCAATAAAGTTTTTAACAATCCTATTTATTACCTGATTTTTTTTATCAGAAGCTTACTTTTCCTCCCCTCTCTTATTATATCTTGATTAGGTTTTTACTGTATATATAATTTTAAATTTTTTACTCCCTTCTCTCTAAAAAATTACCTGATTTTTGTTACATTCTTAATAGATATATTATTATATAAAAATTTGTTTTTTTTAAAATAAAAGTAAACAGGATTGTTTAAGAAAAAAAATAAATATAATTTTATTTTAATAAAATTTATAATAATAATCATATTAATATTTTTTTAGGATGTTTTATAAAATAGATGGGCAAACTTCGCAAACTCTGCAACTTTGCTATTAAAAAATTAATGATTACTAATTATTAGCAAAGCTTATTTCTTATATTGCTCACTTATTCTATAGGATATCTTTTTTTATTTTTTTAAAAATTAAAAAACAACTTTATTTTAATATAAAGCTATTTTAAAGCTTCAATTTAAAAAAAATAATATTCTATTTGATTAATTATTTATTTTAATAAATATAATTTTATTTTGATAAATTTATAATAATAATTATATTAATATTTTTTTATTTTTTAAAAAAAAGATTAAAAAATAATTTTATTTTAATATAAAACTAGTTTAAAGCTTTAATTTAAAAAAAAATAGTATAGTCAAACCTTTCTATAGTCACCTTCTCTATAGTCACAAAATTGATATAATTACAAATTTATTTTTATCAATTATTTATAACTATATAGAAAATACCTCTATATTAGTCACACCTCTTTACAATCACAGTTTTTTGTATTCCAAAGGTGTGACTATAAAGGGGTTTGACTGTATATTATTTGATGAATTATTTATTTTAATAAATATAATTAGATTTATTTATATATACTCTAAGATATATGTACTTGCATCACATGATCTATATAGATTACCATAAAATTCAAGATCAAGTATAATATTACACAATTAGAAAAATTCAAAACAAATATTCATTTTGACAAAAATCACTAATTTCACAAAAAATTGTATACTAAACTACCTTCTGTGCATTAATAAAAAGTTTTTCTTAAGTAATTTTACTATATAACTATCTAAATACTAATCTTAAAATAGTTTTTATTTTAATTCTAACCTAATTTAAACAATATCAGTATTATTGTTTTTGTATAAAATATTATATGATTTAGAGTTCCAATCCAGATAAATCTGTTATCTATTTATCCGTATCCAATTATCCAGATAATCTAAATTGCTTAGATATTTAGATAATCTGATGAGTAATCAGATAATTATCCAGATATTAATAGTAAAATAGATATCTGAATAAATTCAGATTTGGATATTTGATAGATAAATAGATAAACAGATAATAGATAGGAATACTAGTATAATCAAAATAAAAGATACCATATTTTTGCAAAATAACGCTTATAAGCATTATTTCGAAAATTGCACCTTCTAAAAATAACATATATAGCTTCAAAATAATGCTCATATATATCCTGAAATAATGTGCATCTTATAGTAAAGAGTACTTATTTAGAATAAATACTCCAGAGCTAGATTCACTTAATATCAACCTAGCTTTGGAACATTTGTTGTTTTAGACAAGATGCTTAAAATTTTTACATTTGTCTCAAAATAATGCTTATGCGTGTACTTAAAATAATATATATATATGTGCAGATTAGCATTATTTTGCAAAAATACAATACAAAAAATTTAATATACTGTATATTTACGAAATAATACTTACGAGTATTAATTTGAAATTTGACTTTCCTAAAAAATGCTATATTTGGTTTGAAATAACGTGCATGCGTGTCCCGAAATAATGCACATCCAAGTAAATCATCGAATAAATCGATTTGCTATAATCAGAATTTTCAATTTATTCGATTTTAACTTATTTAAATTTTTTTCTTTTTAATATCCAATTTTCTTTATAAGAATATAATGAAGTTTAATTGTATCGCATTTCTGAAATATATGACAGATTAGTCAACTACCTGCCTAACTATCATAGCAGCATAAAAATTAAACCCGATAGTCCCAAATAGTACATTAAGTTTTCAGCTAATCTCTTACAGATTTCAGAAATACTAGCATATCTATTTTATGTTAACTAGGGTAGCTAGGATGTTTTTGTTACTAATACCTAATCTCAAAAATTTGCGAACTAAAATTTAGTAAAGATAGGTTGTATATATTATTAATAATCAAAAAGCCAAGCATTTACTTTTAAAACACAGTATAATTGTTATACAAAGCGAAGATAAATTTGTATATTTTTTTTTTTTGTTTATTCAGTTTGAACTGCGTACTACTTTTAATCTAAAGATAAAGAACAGGAGCAAACTTTTTTTTCAATACTTAAGCATACATAGAAATCAAAAAAAAAAGGCTCGGCTATAGTTGCCATTTTCAAACTTTTAAAGTATTACTTTAATCGATTAAAGTTTTACTTAAAAGAATAATAATAACCAGAGAAGTATTATATTTGCAATCCATCTATAAAAAAGATGAGGCTCTGCTTATATGCATAACAATAACCAGAATTAGCATTGAGAATAGCATAATCAAAGTTCTTAAATTGCTTTTGTGATTATAAATTTTACCGTTGACAGAAAGAATTATGATTTTGACAAATCTATTATTGTGAACGATTGGCTAAAATTAATATTAGCAAACAATAAATAAAAATAAAAATTAAGAATAAAAATAAAAAAAAACAAAAAAATAAATTTATTTACTTATATCAATTTACATTACTTCATCGATATTCATTGTATCAATATCTATTGCATCCATATCCAACACTTCATGATCTGCTACATTTTCAGTATATAGCTTATCATCAGAATTCAACTCATCTCTTGAAAATATACCTTCATCTTCTTCGCTTTCATATTCATCGTTTTCTTCACCTTTGCTTTCATCATTTTCTTCACCTTCACCTTCATCATTTTCTTTACCTTTGCTTTCATCATTTTTTTACTTTTGCTTTCATCATTTTTTTTGTTGTTTAACAATTTATTCACATCATTCATACAGTTTTCAACTATAGCCTGAAGATGGCTTGATATTTTATTGTTTTCGCTACCATCGGGGTTGAGCACAAGGCTAGCCATTTTAAATGATTTAGCCAAAAGATCTTTACTAATTTCCTTTCAAGTTTCAGATACCAATTTGCAAATAAGTGCATATGAGGCTTTTTTATAGACTCCTTTTTTGGTAAATTTTTTTTCACCTTCATCAATCTATTCATTCTACCTTTTTTTCATTTTACTTTTAAAAGGTTAATTTATTGAAACATCTGGTAGTTGCAAAATACAAATCATTTCTCCAGGTATTTTCAAGACATTCAAACCTTCTATATTTAATGCCTTAACTACATCACTATAAACATGACTACGATAACTATCAACAAAAATTAAACCTTTGCTTTTAAAAAATCTTTCCGGCCTTGTACATATGACTCGTAGGATATAAGTAGAGATCATTAAGTCTGTCCATATATTTGCGCAGGGTGCTGTTATTAAAACAACATCTTGTGGAAATTTACCTTTGGGTTTCTTTTTTAGCTTAAAAATTACTGCTGGCAGGAGCTTATTCCCAGAAGCTGTATAATCTAAAACTACTGAAAAATATAGCTTGTTATTTTCTGTACTTCTAATTGCCACCTCACAAACACCTTGAAAATCAAAAGTTAAACTCTGGGGCATGTCAAACCAAACTGGTGTCTCATCAAAAGAAATGATAAATTTTTTTCTATATTTATTGTTTTTTCGTATGCAACTTGAAGAAAGTTACTAACAATTAAGAGCGTATCCTCAGAAAACTTTTGTGCAACTTGAGTTCAAATGTGTGTTACTAAATCATGCCATTTTCTAAACCGTTCAATCCATCCACGAGAGAACTTTGCTTCAATACCTAAATCTTTCTTTAACTCTTTTGTCGTTTTTTCAATTATATGAGTTGTAATAGCAATTTTTTCATCTCGTTTTTGCTTGATGTAATCCAATAGATTCTTTTCCAAATCAGGATATTTTGCCTTTCGACCGTGACCTTTAAGAACACGTACTTTATCTATACTTAATTTTGTGTTGCTTTTAACAGCTTCTAAATCTAACTTTTGTTTTCACCACTCTTGAACTCTTTTTCGATCGATATTGTAAAATAATGATACTTTACGATTAGATATAGACTCCACAAATAATACTACTTCAAGTTTGAATAAAATAGTATAGCTTCGTTTTTTGTTCACGTTTATTCGTAAAAGTAAAAATTGAAATAAAAATTCAGAATCAATATTTAACACACATACTTAAATAGAATTCATGATATGTTACAAAAAATATATATCAGTTTATAATTTATACCTGAATAATCATTAATTATAAAAAATCAGATTTTTTGATCAATAATATTTATTGCAGGATAAATATAACAAGACCAGGAACTATTGATTCAATGATGCATCTAATAGAACAACTTAAGTTTAATTTACAATACAAAAGAGTCCAAACCCAATTACTGAGTCGTTAGGGTATAACCCTAGAGCCAATGTCCTGCTCAAAGCAATTGGACGTACCTTCATATAGCAATAATAGATTCAAAGAAAAACAAAAAATGATATAGTAGTAATTCAAAGAAAAAACAATAACAAGAAAAAAATCTAGACCTAATTACTGAG